CGCTGTCATGAAGCTCACGGATTTGGGTCCTTCCTTGGTGGTAAGGCCCATGGCATTGACTTTCTCTCTTGAGATCAAATCGTGTCCACATCCCGTGTCCATGATGAAGCGTATTGGTGGTCCATCATACCTCTCCACAGCCATGAACATCGTGGTTCCTGGTATCGTGTAGTCGACAAAATCCTTCCTTACTACCTCTCTGGTGTTGAAATCAGACAGGTCGACGTTAACCTCGATTCCTTCATCTTGAGTGATTTGTATCCATGCCTTGGCAATGTGCTCAGCATAGAATAGCTCCATCATCTTACCTTTGGCATGTGCTACTCGTGCAGCTATGTTGCTCACTCTGAGGGCTCTCAACGACGAAATGAGCTCGGTATCCACCTTCTGCACCTCATTCCTCTTCTTCCTAAGGGGACGGTTGTTCAGCTCATTACCAGGATCGCAAATGAACGTGGTCACATTCGCCTGGTCATCGAATCTGACTCTAAAGCGAAGCGCCAGTTTACCTTGTTGTACGTTGGGAAGTGCGGGTTGTACGTCCTCGTCATCACTCTCGATGTCTCCGCAAAGCATGAAGGCTGGCGCAGCCGGTTTGGGCTTGGCTTTGCCTCTAGCCTCTTGTTTCGTAGCAGGAGCAGCGTGATGCTGACGTCGACATTTGTCCCCGAACTTGCACGATCCTTTCTGCCAATTCCAACAGACCTGATCCTTCATTGTCTTAGGGCTACTGCTCCTGCCACCGGGACTCTTTGATCTGTCATCCTTGAGGTTTTCTGGTTTCTTAGCAGAACTCTTGTGCTTCTCTTGGTGACTAAACTTGCATTTGTCTCCTCTAGAACATCCGTTTTTCCCATGGAAGTGGAAAGCGCATCCTATCTTGGACGTATCTGCTGGAGTCGCTGACCTGCCACGATCCCCTTTTGGGCTCTTCGTGGCTGATCTTCCACGATCCTGCTTCTTGTCCTTCTTGTTGTGGTCCTTCGGATTAGCCTGAGGAAGTACTGGAGCGGCGTCATGTTTCGGTGGATCGGTCTTGGTATTCTTGGGTTTCGCTTTAGGGTCCTTCTTCTCCGCCGCTGGTGTGGCTTTCACGATGTTCCCAAAAGCCTTTTCCCTTTCTTTCTTGTTTGTGGTCTCAATTGATTTCCGTATCCACTTCGTCATGATCTCTCGTAACTTCTGGTAGGTCTTATCCGGATCCTTATCCAACATGTTGTCGTACACAGACAAATCTAACGCCATAACTTTGGAATCCTTAATCTTATCCCAAAGCAGGTTGCGAAGTGCTTTGTCAGGAAGCATGTCATCCGCATCCATACCTGATATGATCTCATCCCACTGTCCAAGGAATCTGGATAGTTGATTATCCCCAGGAAACTTTAGATCGAATAAGTGCTTGGACGCATACATCACATCAACGTTGTCGGCACTTCGGAAACTATCGACGATCAACGCTAACATTTCTCGTCCCTTGACCATTCCAGGAGTTGTGCCTCTCGCACGTCTCTGCATCATCTGCCTCACCTTCAGTTGTACGTCATGAGATCTCTCACCTGCTGCGTGGATGATCGTATGTAGGGTGATACCTAGCTTAGCGTCTATGCTAGCGAATCTTGCTTCGCCTGATGTCTCGAGTAGAAATGGGTCATATGGTGATCTGAAGGCATCCGAGAGCCATTGGATCCAATCTTCTTGTTTCTCGTCGCCCGATGCCGTCACGACTGCCGCTACAACCTGGGATTTCCAAACCTCCAGGTCGTGTATCTTGGGCCATGCAGGGATGTTGATCTTCTCGTGTTCCTTCCGAGATATCTTGGAGCCGCCTGAGCTAGAGGATGAAGCGGCACCATGTTCGGTTGCGGCTGCATTCTCTGCACTTGTGCGCTCCTCTTCGTACCTCTTCCGGTACTTATTCCTCTCATCTCTGAGCCGTGATGCATGCGCTTCGAATTCCATCATGTCCTGTTGGTTCTGCATCATACCTTCGTAGTACTCAATTGCCTCTTTCTCCTCGGACCTTAATAACCTTTCAGTACGTTCAAGTTCTGCTCTAAGCTTGGTCATCATCTCATTCTCCACACTGGGTTCTGATCCCATGTCTGGTGGTTTCAACTTCAGTGCGACCTTCAATTGTGCTTCACTTGCGCTTGATTCGATCAATTCTTCCTGAAGACGTTTCAGCATCCTCTCTTTACGTAGAATGTCCTCTTCCAACATGTTCACCTTGACTTCGGCCTTCTTGAGTTCGGCGCTGGATGGTTGAAACGGTCGATCGGATCCTTGAATCCTCGTCTGAGTCAACTCCTCGTTCGCCTTCTTCAATTGCTCTCTGATGCTCAAGATGAACTTGTCCTGAGTATTAGATCGGTTGTTGAGCTCCTCATTCTCTTCTGATAACCATTTGATCTTGCTTGCATACATTGCTTCCCTCATCTTCATCTCTTCAGCATATTCGTGTTTGTTTCTGGCACTCTGTCTTTGTAGTCCAACTAACTCCTGTCTACACAGATCCTTGACGTTCTCAGCATCTGCGATTGTAGTCATGACCTCGGTTACGGCTCGATCTCTTTCTGCCGATATAGCTTGGATCTCTTCCGTGCCGATGTTCACAACTTGACTAACCATCTCTGCGCTGTTGCGATCAGCGTACTCCCCTAACTGGGTGAGACGATCCCGCATTGCCACACGATCAGTGTCCATCTGGTATTGCAGGTCGTGTGCTGCTGATAGCAAACAGTCTCTGGATTCTGTAAGTTGGGTGATTCTTCGTTGATTCCCATATCCTTCGACATAACATTCTTCGAGGTGTGCCATCACTACTTCGTGGACTTCGGTCTCGTGTTGTATAATCTGGTTCTGTCTCTGCTCACATTCGACCATCCATGCGTTTTGGTGGTTCAACATATGCACTTCGGCAAGTAGTTGCGCACACTTCGCATTCAGGTCTCCATCGGCCCGTGCTAATTGTAGGTTGTCAGTGCTTGCCCTTGCTCGATCTCCAGCTTCGCTGTCCGACGGCACTGGTACAGCTGACCCATCCTGCAATGCTAGCGCTCTCACAGCTCCGGTGTCAGTTCTCCTCCTCGTCTCCCTAGGGCTACGGCCTGATCTCGGTGTCCCCCACGGTGGTGTCGAGTGCGCTGACGGGGAACGACTTCGTGCTCTACCTGTCGCAACCTCTCTCACCACTGTCAGAGTCTCCGCTTCGATCGTACCTGGACTGGAGTTGTGGGATGCACTCATCCGATCTGCGGCCGCAGCAGCTGCTCCAAAAGATGCAGTGCTGGCGTCGGATTGGTCCATCTTCAGTGACTGAGGGTAACTGATCTATCCGATGCGTTTGCGTCTAGATGGTGTTGTGTAAGGCCGCAGCTCGTACCCAGCTCAAAAGAGTCTGGTTACGGCTGATAACCTGCGAACGGATGGAAAGGTGTGCCCTGGCCCCGTTCTAGCTCTTAGGTCAACATGAAGCTCGCGCGCTAAAGCTCCTTTTTACCTGGTTGGGCACTTGAGCCAAAAGTATATGGCATGTACCTGTATAGCGACTATACTGGGACCCCATCCCTATTGACAATATATATATATATATATTATATTTTGCGCAACAAAAGAGATATGATCGCGGACTGATCAAGAAAGTTTCAACACAAAAAGTCACGTTCCGGCGAACTCGTTTTTCCTGCAAGCTGCAAACAATTTTGCAGGAATATTGCTCAAATGTCTGGTCCGCATGATAATTGTACTTACTTGGGGTCAGGGTGGTCCTTTAGTTGTTCGAGAAAGTATCCCTGTTCTTCTTTGTCCACCTATATGTTCATCTATATTCTATATTTGAATCAATTGGTGTACAAGCCTGCATGAGCAAGTTAATAAGTAGAGCACACCAAAAAACCCTTCGTTCAGACCCAACCGCACCAGTTGGAGTTCCAAGGACATCCACCACCGATATCTTGGATGTCCAAAGCCTGCCTGGGAAGTTTCTGGGTCACGGCCTGGGAAGTTTGGTTCAGACTCTCAAAGAATTACATTCCGAAACACACAAGCTGTCTGGGAATGGCATATTCACTTAGATTTGCTGTCCCTCGAAAAAAGAAAAAGATATTCACCAGAAGGGGATTTAACCAAAGGGACAGTAAACAACAAAAAATTTAGGCAATTACATATACATAGGGGTGGTTGTAAAGGCAGCACGCAAAAAATTACTTTACTTCGAGTGATCCCCACCATGACATTCATACATTTTATTGTATTCTATCTGGCAATCTATCTAGCATACTATCTGCCATTCAATCTGCCATTCTATCTGGCAATCTATCTGACATACTATCTGGCATACTGTCTGGCATACTATCTGGCATTTTGTCTGGCATACTATCTGTCATATCTTCTGGCATTCTATCTGGCATTTTATCTGGCATTCTGTCTGGCATTCTATCTGGCATATTTTCTGGCATTCTATCTGGAAATGTATCTAGCAATCTATCTGACACACTATTTGGCATACTATCTGGCATATCTTCTTGCAGCATTCTATCTGGCAATCTACCTGGCATTCTATCTGGCATTTTATCTGGCAAACTATCTGGTTGAGGTCCAGCGGTGCACACTGCGATCATATCCTTGCGGTTGAGGTCCAGCGGTGCACACTGCGATCGGATCCTTGCGGTTGAGGTCCAGGGGTGCAC